TACAGTCGAACCTCTCTATAACGAACCTCGATATAACGTAAACCTCTCTATAACGTAAGGCGTGACCGGTCCCGGCCAAATGTAATACAAAATGTCTATAAAAAAACCTCGATATAACGTAACTCTGTATAACGTAAACCTCTATACAACGGAAAATTTTGCCTGAAAATATGCAATTTTTTGTTCCATATAACGGATTTTATGCTAAAACGTGGATATTTCTTCCAACTACCATGTTCTTTGGATGGACTATTCTAATCTGTGGCCTTTTTGCCACAATTTAAAAGAAGAAAAAAAAATCACTTACATAGATTCTTAATAAGTTTTTTGCGTTCATATATCGTTCACTTATTCTTTTTACGTGCTTATTTTCTGTATTAAATGATATTTATCATTTTTCAGGCGATGGAGCGAAAGAAGGCGACCCGGAAAAGGATCGATCTAGCTGAAAAAAAGCGAATTCTTGATGCTTCAACTTCGAAAGGAGTAACGGATTTAGCAAGGGAATTCAAGCGGCCAATTTCGACCATTTCTTCGATTTTGGGCCAAAAGCAAACGATTTCTAATGCGATCAATGACGGTTCTCAGGGCAGCGAGCACGAGTGAAGAATAGCAAACACGAGGACCTGGAAATTTGCTTCGAACAAAAGCTCTGGAGCTTGCAAAGTTGATGGGTATTACCGATTTCCGAGCTAGCAATGGATGGCTAGAAAAGCTGAAGCATAGGCATGGCATTGTTTTTCGTTCCCTACAAGGAGAAGCAGCCGAAATCGACCTGAACAATGTTGAGCAGTGGAAAGATGAAGTATTGAAGGGACTCTTGAAAGAATTTGAGCCAAAGAATGTTTTTAACTTGGATGAAACAGCTCTTTTTTACAAGTTAACGCCGAATAAAACGTTGTCTTTCAAAGGCGATAGATGCACAAGTGGAAAGAAGAGCAAGGATAGAGTCACTGTTCTCGTCGGATCAAATATGGATGGAAGCGAAAGATGCCCTTTATTCGTGATTGGTAAATCGAAGCATCCGCGTTGCTTTAAGGATGTCAAAAAACTTCCTGTTTTGTACGAAGCAAATTCAAGAGCGTGGATGACCAGCGAATTATTTGAGAGCTATCTCAAGAAATGGAATTCAAATTTGATCAAATTTAATCGGGAAATTTTGTTGTTTATTGATAACTGTCCAGCACATCCGAAGCTCAATTTATCAAACATTCAGATTAAATTCTTTTTGCCGAATGCAACTGCGGCAATCCAACCAATGGATATGGGAATAATTAAAAATCTGAAGGTCAGATACCGAACAGGATTGTTGAAACAAAGAATTGCAGCTGTCGATGCAAAGGCCAAATTCGAATTTAATCTTTTGGATGCACTATACTTACTCGAAGAATCCTGGAATGACGTTAAAGTGGAGACGCTTTCAAATTGTTTTCGTAAGGCCGGATTCAAGAGATGTATGCAAGATGAGCCGCCATTTATCGAAAACAATAACGACGACGATAACTCGCTACAATCATTGCAGGCTATCTGGAATCAACTTATTGATAGTGAAGACGTTGATCGATCAATCAATCCTTTGGAATTTGCTTGCGCCGACGAAAATGTTGTGACTACAGGGTTAAGATCGCTAGAGGAAATTGCACTAGCTGCTAAAGGTACAGATTATATCGTTTAAAGTAATGCTAATTTAAGGAAAAGATCAATTATGTTTCCTTAGGTTCGCAACTACAGTCGATTTCTTCTGATAGCGAGGATGATGAGCCAATCGTTGAAGACGTGGAAGAGCCGATAGTGACACGATCCGAGGCATATCTACATCTTCAAAAGCTCAAGATATTTGTGAGGAATAACCCTAATTCCGAAATTGTTAAGGCTTTAGCAACTTTTGATAATTTTTTCTTTTATCAGGCTTTTTTTCTCCTAAACAATCCCGTTTGACTAACTTTTTTGTTAAACTTTGATGCTTTTTGATAATTTTTTTACCTTTTTTGTTGAGTTTTTGCAATAAATATGTTCCAATACCTCTAAATAACGTAATGGTTGCAATAAACCCTGCGTTTTTGATTCTATATAACAAAACCTCGATATAACGTAAACCTCTATATAACGTAAAATATAGCCGGTCCCGTGAGTTACGTTGTAGAGAGGTTCGACTGTACATCGATCATTTCCCAAAAACCAAAACATTTCTTCCCATGCCGGGAATCGAACCCGGGCCGCGTGGGTGAAAACCACGAATCCTAACCACTAGACCACATGGGAGGATGGAATGGCACTGAAAAAAGGGTCTTATAAGTGACAGGTCCTCAGTTTCACAAGAAATTCGTAAGGAATTTTGAAGTGAAAATTTCGTAAGGAAGAAAGGGACAGAAAGACAAGAAAAAGACTCTTTTAAGTAAGAAAGGAGGCTCACTTACAATTTTTGGAAAGGAAAAATGTAATTTGTATCTATGTCATATCCAATTTAGATTTTTAACCCATTTAGACTCAACAATAGTTTTTAAAACTCCTGCTTTGGCGAAATCATCGTTTTTCTCATGTTTTTGGGACAGTTTTTGATGCAATTTGCAATCAATGCAATTTGCCATCAATAAAACTAAAACTCAGTACACTTTTCCTTAAAAAATGGCTAAATTCGGTAAAAGTTACGGGGCAACTACATGAAATTTCATTAGGCACGTATTTCAGCGTTTTTTAAAATACTCAAAGGGGACGCTCGTAGTGCTCGTAGTGAATGAAAAGATTTTTATAGATATTAGAGATTCTTGAGTCTCCATATAACAATATAACAAATATAACCACAAGAATTTCACAGTTTTCTTAGAAAATTCAAAGATTAACTGAAAGATTTGATGCTGAATACAGTAATCTAATCATTTATTCACTATGTACAGGAAATTAAGCCAAAACTGAGGTAAATCCGCATTGAAAAACCTTTTTTTAAGTTCATTTTACAGTTTCATTTCGCTTGTTGCTGTTTCTCAAGTTGATCCACGCATTCTGGACTACAGAAAACAAAAAGATCTCTTTTCGGAAATTGGCCAATCTGTTGCTCGACCATTCCACAATTCGAGCACAATTTATACCCAGCCGATTGCTTTTTCTCGATGAAACGATCGCCGAAGATTATGTTAGAACCTGAAAAGAAAAAAAAAAGAATCATTTTCCAAAAACCAAAACATTTCTTCCCATGCCGGGAATCGAACCCGGGCCGCGTGGGTGAAAACCACGAATCCTAACCACTAGACCACATGGGAGGATGGTCAGGGCTGGAAAAGGGAAATAGTTATGGCAACTATCAGTTGTCCTTGATTTTTTTTTAATTACTTCTAACGTATATGACTTTATACTTCTTTTGACATCGGTGATGAATTCAAATTTAGTTCTATATACCATATTTTCCCACATAGTGAACCCTCAAAGTCTAAGTTCCTCGAAGTCTGGAGAACCGCTTATCAGAACCTATCGATGTGGGTTGGAAAATGTAGCTGAGGATGAGATCTACTGGGGGATTTGAGCGTTGAGCTTCTGTGAAGCTTTGGAAGCCGTAAAATAGTCATCGACTCGGTTGCACTGGTGCACTACTAGAAAATAATCAGGGAAAAGCATCTAATCTACAACTGAGAGATTAGAGAGACTACGGTATGTCCAAATTTGGCCAACTTTGTTTTTTATTACTTTATTTTGCAGAAAACATGTTACCGAGTCCAAATCACTAATTTGTAGACTTTTCAAAATGTTTGGTTCAATAAAGGTTTAGTCTTCCCGGAAAATCTTACCAGTGATTGCAGATTGTATGGAATTCTTTATACGAGTTTTCAATGGAATATTTCGATCGCTTTTGTAAGTCGAAAGGAATACTGTTTCCTTAATAGTAGTGCACTTTGAGCTTTGCCTAAATTCCTCGAAATCCCGAGAACCGTTTATCAAAACCTATCGATGTGGGATCGGAAAATGTAGCTGGCGATGAGATCTATTGGGGGATTTGAGCGTTGAGCTTCTGTGAAGCTTTGGAAGCCGTAAACTAGTCATCAACTCGGCTCGCCGAGGCTAGTATTCGGTCAACTCGCAGTCCCGGAGATCTACTTACCAGCGATTGCTTGCAGATTGTATGGAATTCTTTATACGAGTTTTCAATGCAATATTTTAATTGCTTTTGTAAGTCGAAAGGAATACTGTTTCCTTAATAGTAGTGCACTTTGAGCTTCGTCTAAATTCCTTGAAATCTCGAGAACCGCTTATCAGAACCTATCGATGTGGGGTCGGAGAATGTAGCTGACGATGAGATCTAGTGGGGGATTAGAGTGTTGAGCTTCTGGGAAAACTTTGAAACAGTAAAATAGTCATTAACTCGGCTCGCCGAGGCTAGTACTGCTATCACTACTACATCTAATCTACAACCTAAAGTTGTTAGAAAAAATACGATAGTTTTGACAAACTTGTACCTTTTGGTTTCCATTGTTGTAAGATATACCGATCGAAATCAAGAAGCACCCATGTTCGGTTGCCTAAACATGATTTATAAAGTAAATTCCAGCAAGTAAACTTTGAAAGCAAGCTAGCTGGCAGTAAAAGTCTACCTTTGTAAAACTCTTGAAACAAAACAACTCGATCATCAGGTTGCCATTCAGGATCGGTTTCAAATCTAAAAACAAAGCATATTATGTGCTTAATAAAGCTTAACAAAGCTTAAACAGCAAATCTTATTATTCTAAATTGTGCCAAAACTTCTATTACTTGTTTAGTACCTATTTTTAGCATATCAAAGTAGTTTATATTAATCTTAAGTAGTATTAACACATTCACGATAAAGTTCTTTAACACTTAACTACCATTCAGACGTTTTTTGTTAGCTGTAAAACTCAAAATCTGAACACTAGGGTTTTTAAGGATGCTGAGTTCAGATTGAAACATTATCTTTTTTCTATTTCAATCCGGATATCGGGAATTCGGTTTAATCCGATTTAAAACAACCGCACGTTTTGGTGGTTATTTAGGGGCTTTTGAAAGACTTTAGACACTAATCCCTAAAAGAAAAACTATTAGTTTCCTATTGAAAATCAATTTTACAGGCCGGTTTAACTACCCAAGTTGGGCGACGAACGAGATGGGCAGAATGCAAAGAATCACTATCGCAAGAATGCAAAGAATCACTTTTGCCTACGAACGAGATGGGAAGAATGCAAAGAATCACTATCGTGGGATTGAATTTACAAGAAAATAGAAAAAACTGAAAGGGATTCGGAAGCAGGATCAAAAGTTACATCTTTAGATTAAATTTTCAGAATTTTTGGTTAAAACCAAAATATTTCTTCCCATGCCGGGAATCGAACCCGGGCCGCGTGGGTGAAAGCCACGAATCCTAACCACTAGACCACATGGGAGGATGAAAGACGATTGAAAAAAAGGCCTTTTCTTGGTAATGAACAAGATTTGATGATTTGTTGAAGTCTTGTTTACAAGAATTCTTCTGAGTTGCGGGAATCTGGAGAGAAATGTTTACAAATTTATTCTAAAGTTGACAACAAGGATTAGATTAAATCTTGGATCTTGAAAAGATTAACTAAAAAACAAAAAATTTCTTCCTATGCCGGGAATCGGCGAAACTGTTCTGGAGGAGCAGGCTCGGCTTCCGTTTCTAGCTTCTTATTATCTTGCAATCTTAGAATTTTGCAATCTCAACTAAATCCTTCTAATTAGTCAAATTGGACAGATGACTCAATCATAAGAAATCTTTGATGAAAACGATCCAGCAGTTTAGTTCATAAATCAACTGATACAGTAAGCTTACTGATTTTATCAGTAAGCTGTTTTTATTTTTCTTTTTGAAATCAAACAGCTCCAAAGCTTTGAATGTAAGAAACAAGAATTTAAGAAAAAAGCTTTCAAAATCATCGATCTTTTCCCAAAAACCAAAAGATTTCTTCCCATGCCGGGAATCGAACCCGGGCCGCGTGGGTGAAAACCACGAATCCTAACCACTAGACCACATGGGAGGATGGAAAGGGACAGAAAAAAGGCTCCTATAATTGACAGGTCCTCAGTTTCGCAAGAAACTCGTAAGGAAGATTTATTTTGTTTTTTTAGACTGGATACTGTACCTTTTATCGACGTAATTTACATTGAAAAGTCGCTAATTTTAAAAATTTGCATATCTAATAGATAAATTAACAGGTTAATGATCAATTTTCATAAAATAACAAGAACTATAAAGATTTCTTTGGATAGATTTCTTAGATTTCTTTGGACTTTTGGATTTCTAGATAGATTTCTTTGGACAAAAAGCTAGGTACTCCATTTTTAAAGGTACAAAAACCATTCTTCATCAAGGCTTTCATAAAATCTTGAACACAAACTCTGAAAGTTTTTTCTTTTCTTAAAAACTAAAGATAATTTTTGAAATTTCCCCCTCACCTGATTCCCTTTTTCTTTTCCTTTTCAGCTTGCCATCTTGCTTGCAAAATGCCGAGAACATTCATGAAAACGATGTAAGCGAATTTTTGTCCATTTGCCAAGCGATACGTTATCAAATTCGCTGTGCCAAAAATTCGCTGCAAAGCTTGAGAGATCTGAACAAAACAATGACGAATTTCAAGCGAATTTCAAGCAATTTTCACAACTCACCGGACTTTCTTTGAAAATATTCGTGCTCGAAGCGTTCGCTGTGCAAAGAGAAAGCAAAATATCACTGATTTTTGGATAGGAATGGATTGCTTCAAGATCACGAATAAACTGAGAAACCATTTTTTTGTTTAAAATCAAGTACTTATTTTGTTTTTTGTTTAAAATCACCTGTTTTGCTGATTCTCTGTTCACTTTTTCTTCAGCTAAAAACCGGTGAATAGCGATGAAAGCATCGTCGACATGGAAAAGAGTTTCATCATCTGAAAGCTAACAAAATTTGCATCATGAGCATCCTATCATGAGCTAAAGTCGAAGTTAAATTCTCCTTTTCAATAGAAAACTACAGTCGACTCTTTTTAGAACGCAATTCTTTATAATCGAATCGAATTTTGATCCCGGTTCAGTTATTTTAAATATTAAAAACTCTATATTCGTTTGTTTGATTCAATTTTTATTCCTGCTTCCTAATTTCTTTTCAATCAGCTGTTCAATCTTTCAATTGAAAATAAATTGAAATCTCATTGAGATAGTTGAGCTAATTTATCAATAAAATCAGCAATCGTGAGATATTGCATCAAATCGTGAGATCAAAAACTGTAGCTGATGACTGGGTTGCATTTGAAAAGGCTTTATGATCTTCGGACAGCTTCCTTGGATATTTTAAGTCGAATATTGTATCAGACTTTAGCTATTGCTTCGTTAAGCTTAGTAAATGAATCAGAATCTCTCACCAGAAGCCACATAGTTGACAACATATCCTCTAACCGAGATCACCAGCCGTGACCACCATAGTCGGGGCAACGTTTGGTGCATCTACAATATTAAGTTATTGAACAGCTATTATTGTAATTATTTTGCAGCAAATTACGGTAGCAATCACCTACAACATCAACAGCATTTCACAGCAGATTTTACTGTAAAAAGAGCTTTGAACAAAGAAGTAAAACATTTCTTCCCATGCCGGGAATCGAACCCGGGCCGCGTGGGTGAAAGCCACGAATCCTAACCACTAGACCACATGGGAGGATAGAGAACAGCTGAAAAAAGGGTTTTAGAAGTGGTCCTCAATAAATCCTCAATAAAGTTTTGCAAGAAATTATGAGAAGTAAACTAAATTTCGATGTTTCAGTGAAAGATTTCTGCAAGTGAGCTAAATTTGCATTTAAATTTGATACCTGGGGCATATAGGCGCTTTTGAAAGGCTGTACACACTAACCCGCAAAGAAAAACTATTAATTTCCTATTGAGAATCAACTCTTCAGGCCGGTTAATTACCCAAGTTGGGCGACGCAACTTTTGCCTACGAACGAGATGGGAAGAATGCAAAGAATCACCATCGTGGAATTGAATTTACAAGAAAATAGAAAAAAAGTGAAGGGGATTCGGAAGCAGGATCAAAAGTGACCAAGAAGGATCAAAAGTTACATCTTTAGATTCAATTTTCAGAATTTTTGGTTAAAACCAAAAAATTTCTTCCCATGCCGGGAATCGAACCCGGGCCGCGTGGGTGAAAGCCACGAATCCTAACCACTAGACCACATGGGAGGCGGAGACCGTTGGGAAATTGGGGGTTGATTTAACAAGCAGTGAACTTTTTTGAACGCGTTTCACCTCTGCTCGCGATCAGGGTTCACTTTGTCAAACGCGTGCCATCTGGCGTTTTTTTTCAAGAAGAACAAAAGCCTCTTCCAATGCCGGGAATCGAACCCGAGCCGCGTGGGTGAAAGCCACGAATCCTAACCACTAGACCACATGGGAGGATGAAAGACAGCTGAAAAAATGGTTCTATAAGTGGTCCTCAATAAAGTTTTTGTTATTATTCATATTTCTTAACGCCTATTGTTAATAGACACTGTATCTACCTGCTCAAAAATCTCAACACTGATTTTCGATTGACTTGGCTGAGCGTTGAGAATTTTGCAGTTCGGGAAGAGCTCCATGTCCTCCATGGACACAGGGAGAGTCATTTTCTGGAAAAGAATGAGTTTAGGTGAGTCAAATTAGGCAAATAAGAGGGAAAAGGAGTTAAAAACAGCCTAACAATCACCAAGAAACAGTTGAATCTTTATAGATTTTAGTGTAACTTTTTGAAAACTATAACTATAGTAAAGGGTCATTTTTGAATGAGAAATGGTTGGGGTGTGGTGGTTTTTTTCCGAGTAAGGGAAGGTAAAGAAAAGAGAAAAGAAAGAGGTGAGTGGACAAAAAAGAGAAAAGAGAGAGTCAAGAGAAAGCCTTTCTTACAAATCGTTCACAAAAAAAAAAACAGCTCAAAGGGCGAAAGTCGAATAAATGCAAAATGGGAGCAGGTGGAGAGGCGATTTCAAGGCGATTCACCGCTTACAAGAGAAGTGTTTCAAATCGGGTCAAGTCGAGCGTTCAATTGTTGAAATTGGACAAGAAATGAGGCAATAGCTTTTAAAAAGGTATATAAGAAATATATTTATACTTTGATCTTTATAATTTCTTGTGAGACCGTGACTGTGGTTCAATGATAGATGTCTTGAAAACGCATAATAGAGAAAAGGAACCAAACGTGTAGAGAAAAGGAACCAAATCTGTAGAGAAAAGGAACAAATGTATACCGAAAAGGAACAAATCTATACCGAAAAGGAACCAAATCTTTATCAAAACTTTCCCTTATTAGGGCAAACTTCGCTCAAACTGGAGCAACCTGGCACTATCACAATTACTTCAACTCTTGCGTGTGAAAAAAGGGATGAATAGAAAAGGGAGCCCACGACTGACTCAAGAAAAAGCTTAAATAATGGATTTTTAAGTACACAAGCTACGACAAACGGACAACTGAATATCGTCTAGTGACTGATTACGGTAGTTTATCCATCAACTTTGAATTTAACTTGTATATTGAATTTTGACTAACTACGGAGCAGTGGCAATTCGCCACAGTAAATTGTACTTAAAAATTTACACTTTAAAAGGTTATTGCTTATTTAGCTTGTAAAAATTCTCCTTTAACAACCTGTAAAATGTAAATTCGGGACCTTTACAGTTACCAGGTGGTCGAACGATTATCGCTGGTGGCCGAGCTTTGACCATTCTGCAGCCCAATTTGAGATAGGTTTTTGTTAATAACTTTTAATGAAACAAATAATTGACGTTCTAAGCTATCTAAATCTTATTAAAACCTGCTGATTTGATAAGTTTAAGGTAGTTAAAAATGAGTTGCAAGTTGGCTAATCTTTTTCATCAAAGATTTCTTATGATTGACTCATCTGTCCAATTTGACTTGCCCCCCCTCGGCACCCCCGTTAACCGTAAAACACTAAAATTTTGCATACAACTTAATCTACTAATTTGTGAAAGATTCAAGACTATTTTATGCTAATTTTATCGAAAGAACCAAAAGATTACTTCCCATGCCGGGAATCGAACCCGGGCCGCGTGGGTGAAAACCACGAATCCTAACCACTAGACCACATGGGAGGATGGAAAGGGGCTGAAAAAAGGCTCTTATAAGTGGTCCGCAGTAAAGTTTCGCGAGAAATTATGAGAAGTACATTGAATTTCGATGTTTTAAGTGAAAGATTTCTGCAAGTGAGCTAAATTTGCTTTTAAATTGATAATCCGTTTAAACTAATTATTGTACTATCGTAATTTGAAGAAAACTAACTATTGTACTAGTATCGTAATAGAAGAACCCATACATCGAACTGAAAGTACAGAAATCAGATTTACGCGTATTTTTAGCTTCTTCTCAAGATTCTCTAGCACTTTGGATCTTAATTTACATATCAAATCGATAAATCAACAGATTAATGATCGATTTATATTGTTAAGTCGATAAATCAACAGATTAATGTGCAATTTATATATTAAATCAATAAATCAACAGATTAATGATCAATTTTCATTAAAAGGTTAATAATCAATTTGTTTAATGATAAAATAACGATAACTATAAAGATTTTTTGAATCAAAAAGTCAATAAATCACTTTTTGGCAACATTTCTTTGAGGGAGAAACTGGATAAGCGATTCCAGCTCTCCAAAGCCTGCTTCAATAGCCGAATTCCAGTTTGTGAGCGTTCACCAATCGAAATTAACAAGGAAATGAGGGAAAAGCTGTTGGGAATTAAAAGTCTTCCAAAAAAAGAGCAAAATTTTAAGTGTTTGTTTGAAAAAAATGTTTTTTGATAAGGGAAATCGGGAATTCTTTTGAAAAAAATGTTTGGAATTTGGATGGGAGTGAAGAAAAGGAGAAGAACGGATAAGAAAGTGCTTGAAATTTTTGTGCTACATGCATTATCGCTTACTTTTATATCTTCTACACATTGTCATGTATTATTGGTACTTTTTTACATAGTACAGTACAGTACAGTAAGCCTAAAGTCTAATATAAACTATACAATCGTATTATACAAAGGCCAGTATTCTGTAATAAAGCGAATCGAACAGTAGAACTACCCTAAAGTCTCGAGTATAAGTTGATCCGATTATAAGTTCTGCCTTAATTTACATTCGCTTTAATTGCTTTGAATTTCTTTTTGTTGGGTTTTTATAGACTTTTATTGTTATATAAACTTTTATTATTGTTCTTGGAGCGCGGGTGACAGCCTACAGGACTACAGGGTGACTACAGGGTGACAGCCTATCACCATTGCTATTTGTTATGTGCATGGATACATCCAGACGATAGTGTTGAAGAAGACGCTGGAAAGCATCTCTTTCGACCGTCGACGTGGACTTTGGCCGGATGAAGAGGCCAGGGAGGGATCCATAAGACTGAGCACTGGAGATGAGCAGGGCGGACGCGCCGAGCCACGCCCGGAGCAACAAATAACAGCATAAAATTGCTATAACCCTCAATAAATTTACTTCTATTATTGTTCTTAAAAAGCAAAAAAGTTATGCTGCAGCGGGGTTCGAACCCTCGACACACCGCACCGGAGACAGCCGTCAATTTGCATGCGAAAACCAAACAGAACTTATACTCGCGACTTTAGGGTAATGAAAAGTTGAAAATCTTTAAACATTTCTTTAAAACCTTGTGTAAAGCGATAAACTGCACGTAAAAGCGAATCAAAAATAGATCTAAATGATCGAAGAAAACGAGAGAAACAGTTTTTCCAAAAAGTTAACCATTTATTCAGGTTTCCTCCAATCTTTTTCATTTCTCCGTTTTCTTTTTCAAAGATTCGCGTGATCTCCGTAGTGATCACTTTTTCGTAACCTTGTGCATTGACATTGTGCATTTCAAGGTTAAATTCTCCTCCTTTTTAACTAAAACCTTACTAAAACATGTAAGCTTTTGGAAAACTACAATAACCTTTCTATTTATGATAAACAATCGCATTTTAAGACTGTATAAAGATCAAAGAATTTTTTATTGATCGGTTAAGAGGTCGACTACTTTAAAACCCAGGGAAATGCCATCAAGCCAATCAGCTGCACTCGCAACTTGAGCCATACAACACCAAATACAATTCTCATTGCCTGAAAGTCTTATTTTAAAGTTACTTTTGAAAGGCTGTACACACTAACCCGCAAAGAAAAACTATTAATTTCCTATTGAGAATCAACTCTTCAGGCCGGTTAATTACCCAAGTTGGGCGACGCAACTTTTGCCTACGAACGAGATGGGAAGAATGCAAAGAATCGCCATCGTGGAATTGAATTTACAAGAAAATAGAAAAAACTGAAGGGGATTCGGAAGCAGGATCAAAAGTGACCAAGAAGGATCAAAAGTTACATCTTTAGATTCAATTTTCAGAATTTTTGGTTAAAACCAAAAAATTTCTTCCCATGCCGGGAATCGAACCCGGGCCGCGTGGGTGAAAGCCACGAATCCTAACCACTAGACCACATGGGAGGCGGAGACCGTTGGGAAATCGGGGGTTGATTTAACAAGCAGTGAACTTTTTTGAACGCGTTTCACCTCTGCTCGCGATCAGGGTTCACTTTGTCAAACGCGTGCCATCTGGCGTTTTTTTTCAAGAAGAACAAAAGCCTCTTCCAATGCCGGGAATCGAACCCGGGCCGCGTGGGTGAAAGCCACGAATCCTAACCACTAGACCACATGAGAGGATGAAAGATGACTGAAAAAAAGGCTTTTTCTTGGTAATGAACAAGATTTGATGATTTGTTGAAGTCTTGTTTACAAGAATTCTTCTGAGTTGCGGGAATCTGGAGAGAAATGTTTACAAATTTATTCTAAAGTTGACAACATGAATTAGGTTAAATCTTGGATCTTTAAAAAAGCAAAAAAGAGAAATTTCTTCTCATGGAGGAGCAGGCTCGGCTATGTTGTCTTTAGTCAGCCACGTAAACATCTTAACCAAGACTGTGGAGCAGGCTCGGCTTCTTCTGGAGGAGCAGGCTCGGCTTCTGTTTCTAGCTTCTTATTAGCCGAATCTTGCAATCTCAACTAAATCCTTCTAATTAGTCAAATTGGACAGATGAGTCAATCATAAGAAATCTTTGATGAAAAAGATCCAGCAGTTTAGTTCATAAATCAACTAATACTAAGCTGCTTTTATCAGTAAGCTGTTTTTATTTTTCCTTTTGAAATCAAACAGTTCCAAAGCTTTGAATGTAAGAAACAAGAAAAAAGCTTTCAAAATGATCGATCATTTCCAAAAAACAAAAACATTACTTCCCATGCCGGGAATCGAACCCGGGCCGCGTGGGTGAAAACCACGAATCCTAACCACTAGACCACATGGGAGGATGGAAAGGGGCTGAAAAAAGGCCTCTATAAACGGTCCGCAATAAAGTTTCGCAAGAAATTATTAGAAGTACACTGAATTTCGATAAGTTTTTAGTGAAAGATTTCTGCAATTGAGCTAAATTTGCATTTAAATTCGATAATCCGTTTAACAACTTGAATTCTTGGATAGGAAAAATTGTTTTTATTCATTTATTCATTAAATAGTTAAATTTGAACATCTGAAGCTGTTTAACTGAACTTATCAATCCTTTTTGTGTATTTGCACATCCGATCATTCCCACGGACTCGAAATTACATTTGTCGCCATTTCTAAATCAGGAATTCTGAGCCTAAGCCTGAGCCTAAGCCTGAGCCTAAGCCTGAGCCAGCCTAAGCCTTAGCCAGGATTTGCACATCCGGATTTGGATTAGCCTTGATCCAGTTCTAAAACGGTACTAAGCTTTTTACAAGTAATGAAACTGAATTTTCAGGCTTTGAAGGCTCTCTATTGACAATGGTAGCTGAAGTTTCCAAAATTTGATTTAAGATTTGGTTAAAGGACCACAAAGCCACTTACAACAAGTGAAACACAACAAAACTACAAAGAACATCAAATAAACATTTTTGTGTAAGCAATAAACGATCACAAAGCAATGCTTTGTTTTATCTTCTTTATAACCGAGCTGGTTTGGATGGAATTTCAATTTAAAAACGGCATTTTAGCCTGAAAATTGGCTTTAAAATCGCCCTTTTAACAAACCTGATAGACTGAATGAGCAGAATTCTTATGGATAAAGCGATTTTGCGCAAATTTAAATCTATTTTTTTCAGTGCTTGTCTGTTTACTTTACTTTCAAACTTGCCTTGTCGACATTTGATTCAAATATAAATGAGTTTTTGATGCAAATCGTTTATACAGACACAGGCAATGGTTTGAAAGAGTGGAATAGTGGTTATAAATTAGCCATTGATAGATAGATAGCCATTTATACAGACAGATGATTGATGAATTCCTTACAAGCCACCGAGCAAGTCACCAAGTCCCCTGGAATTGAATTCGTTTTGATTATCTGGTAACAAACTCACAATCCATTGGTGAGTCCACCAACAACTCCGGTAAGACCTCCAAGTCCGCCAGTCAATCCACCCAAACCACCAGTGAGTCCACCAACTCCACCAAGATCTCCAGTCAAACCACCAAGAGCATCAAGACCGGGAAGAACACTGAAATGAGATGAATGGGTTTCTGGATCAAGACTTACACAAGAAGTTTCCCAAGAAGTGGCTCGATCAATCCCTCGAGGAGTTGACACACCAAATTCTGAACTGTTTGGAGGAGGCCGATTTGTTGGACGAGCGAATCATCAACCAAAGACCAAACGGGTGAAAGAACTCCAGTCAAAATTTGAAGACAGAGACCCGAGTAGAGATTCGATTCACCGGTCAACACTCCAGAGAGAAGATATTCGACATTGGCCTCCAATTCCAATCCACATGGACCCATTGGGACGAGAACGACTGAGGGAAGTTCGAGACCGCCCTGGAATTGAGTGGATTGAATGTTGAGTCATTAATTGAATACCTTTAGGATCTCCAAGTGTTGAAGAGTGTATTTGTTGAATTTCGTTCCATTCACAGTCTCCTCAGTCTTGGTCAAGATGTTCACGTGGCTGACTAAAGACAAAAATAGGCAATAAAGTTGGACTATCCAGTCTTGCCTGGCCGGTAATCACTGTAATTCTTAGTCCTATTGAAACTCACTGAAATCCAAGATACAATCCAATACTTGAAGATCTGGAATAAGCGGGCATTTACAAGTCCCATCCACATTCGGAATTGGAATCTTTGGGGTAACAGTTGGAAGAGTGACTGATGGGAGAGACACTGGGGGAAGACTTCCAGCGAATAGAGGAGTGGCCAAGAAAGCGATGAAGAAGATTGAGGTGGACATTCTCTCAAAACTAGTTGAGAAATGAAATGGAATGTTGTGGTGATGATTCGGTGTTAAGCTCGACTTTTATACTGAAACAAGTTGGTCAAAATATTTTTAAATAAAATGATCAAATAGCTGAGTTCGCTTTTATGAAAAACAGTCTGATTCTTGTTTTGTCAAAAATTTCCATATTTCTCTCTAAGTCTAGACGAACAGGAGAGGTATTTTTTGACAAAATGATCAATTATTATTTTTAATCAAGGTTGTATGAGGTAAAAGAATGAAAGAGAGGCTTTTATATTAGTCTAACGATCAAATTTCTTTACTTAACAGTGTTAGTTTGAAGTTTTCACGTTTATCTAATCAAATTTTACTTTTTAAAATGGTAATTGAGTTATCTCATTGCTATTATTCATAGCTATGAGAATTTTCCTTGTAAAACACCTTACGAAAAGCATTTCCGTTCTTCCAATTTGGCCTGGATGACTAAAATAGCTCAAAGTTTTCATTCAAAATACCTCTCATTGTTCTCCACCGTTCAATCATCAATATGGAATCATCAATATGGAAATTTTGTTGCCAAAACAAGCAGCAGACACTTTTTTAATATCGTTCGTTTTTTTTGATCACTCTCGGTCCAAAAATGTGCCTTTTTGATCAGAGACGCTGATTGGGAAAATATTTTGACCAACTTGTTTCACTATAAAAGTCGAGCTTAACACCGAATCATCACCACCACATTCCATTTCATTTCTCAACTAATTTTGAGAAAATGTCCACCTCAATCTTCTTCATCGCTTTCTTGGCCACTCCTCTATTCGCTGGAAGTCTTCCCCCAGTGTCTCTCCCATCAGTCACTCTTCCAACTGTTACCCCAAAGATTCCAATTCCGAATGTGGATGGGACTTGTAAATGCCCGCTTATTCCAGATCTTCAAGTATTGGATTGTATCTTGGATTTCAGTGAGTTTCAATAGGACTAAGAATTACAGTGATTACCGGCCAGGCAAGACTGGATAGTCCAACTTTATTGCCTATTTTTGTCTTTAGTCAGCCACGTGAACATCTTGACCAAGACTGAGGAGACTGTGAATGGAACGAAATTCAACAAATACACTCTTCAACACTTGGAGATCCTAAAGGTATTCAATTAATGACTCAACATTCAATCCACTCAATTCCAGGGCGGTCTCGAACTTCCCTCAGTCGTTCTCGTCCCAATGGGTCCATGTGGATTGGAATTGGAGGCCAATGTCGAATATCTTCTCTCTGGAGTGTTGACCGGTGAATCGAATCTCTACTCGGGTCTCTGTCTTCAAATTTTGACTGGAGTTCTTTCACCCGTTTGGTCTTTGGTTGATGATTCGCTCGTCCAACAAATCGGCCTCCTCCAAACAGTTCAGAATTTGGTGTGTCAACTCCTCGAGGGATTGATCGAGCCACTTCTTGGGAAACTTCTTGTGTAAGTCTTGATCCAGAAACCCATTCATCTCATTTCAGTGTTCTTCCCGGTCTTGATGCTCTTGGTGGTTTGACTGGAGATCTTGGTGGAGTTGGTGGACTCACTGGTGGTTTGGGTGGATTGACTGGCGGACTTGGAGGTCTTACCGGAGTTGTTGGTGGACTCACCAATGGATTGTGAGTTTGTTACCAGATAATCAAAACGAATTCAATTCCAGGGGACTTGGTGACTTGCTCGGTGGCTTGTAAGGAATTCATCAATCATCTGTCTGTATAAATGGCGATCTGAATTTGTAACAATTATTGACCATTATTTGCCCAATGTCAACTTGCATAAACAATTTGCATATGATTACCCGTTTTACCAAATACAAATCACAATCATACTTAGTCTTTGGTTTTATATGCCAAACGATTGAGATTCGAGTTGCTTAAAGTAGTGATTCGCATGATTCGCTTTAGTGTTTCTTCTTTCTGGGAAAGTTTCTGGAAAATCTGATTTATAAACCTTGAAATGACCATTAACAACTGACATTCTACTGCCTTTTATTCTATTTTTTATCAGGTGATTGTGATTGTATCAGGTGATTCATTAAGCATTTTTTCTTAGGCAATTGTATTATGAAAAACAGAGCTATTCATCTTGACATCCAGCTAATCAAGGTCAGATCCTTTCAGACCAATAATAAAATGTTGAAAATCTATTGTACTCTAGCTAGGTGATGATCTCTAAGCCTTTGCAGCGTATTCCCAGTGATTCTGGAGTCATTTTTTTCTTCTGATACAAAATAGCTGTATATTGAAGGGTCGCGTCCGTTTCCTTCCTATTTGCGTTGCTATTTTGCAATTATTCGCGTCGCATTTTTCGTCCTCCGAAATGATTTTTTTTGATCTGCGGGTTTTTGCCTTCTTTCTTGGGGGACTTTGTTGTTTCATTTTTGATGCGCATACTGTTTTTGTAATGGGTATTGTTGCATTTCGGTTCTGTCTTCTGGTTGATAGTTGGTTGATCTCTCGTTGGTTGATCTAGTTAGTTGAAAAAGGTAGCTTGATATCCGGTCTCAAAGATGATGAGCAACTATGGTTCAGAGGATTTCAGTAGAATGTTCCTTAGAGTAAAAGGAAGGAGTAGATGAACGGGATTGGGTACGTGAGTGAATAATGCATTCGAAAGGGAGAGATCGGTGACGCTTGAGAAATCCTTCCTGAATCGCAACCAACTAGAGAATAACGAGCTTGATCATGTTCGTGATATTCCCACCTTAGCTAGATTTAAAGCCGCAATTTCGGCAATTGATTGGTCGCGTCCGTTTCCTTCCTATTTGCGTTGCTATTTTGCAATTATTCGCGTCGCATTTTTCGTCCTCCGAAATGATTTTTTTGATCTGCGGGTTTTTGCCTTCTTTCTTGGGGGACTTTGTTGTTTCATTTTTGATGCGCATACTGTTTTTGTAATGGGTATTGTTGCATTTCGGTTCTGTACTAATAAACAGTAACGTTATAAATTCACTTTACTTTATGCTACCCTTCAGGTTTTAAATCCTCTTTAGATGACTGGTTTAACATTGTAGAGAGGTTTTTACTAACATTTGTGTCACCATCGACGTAGTATGAATCCGATCCGTTCTTCTCAAGAGTATTAATCTATTGTTGGATACTACGTGTGCTTGTTACGTTTGGGCTTTTGGGGGGAAAGCGCTTTTGGGGAGAAACCCTTTTAACCTATTCGGCCTATAACCTATAACCTTTTGTGCTATTCGGCCATTCTTAAGCAGAATCATCCTCGTTGATAAGGTTAAAGCGGCTCGCATCCCAAACTGAAGGATTCAGGGTCAAGATTTGAGTCACGATTCTAGTCTAATATCTAGTCGATTCTACAAATTTCTTTGTATTCTCATAACTTTCTTTTATTTACCGGTATCATATTTACAAGCACAGGGGCTAAATCTATCACTAAATGAAAAAAAAGAAAAACAAAATAGCAAAACGATAGAAAGAGAAACGATAAACCATAGAAAAAACGAAGAAAACCGAAGAAAAAAAAACATTTGAACCAATTAAAGAGTGAAAAGAGTGTCAAATCTCGAAAATCCCTTTCAATTTCCACATATAAAATCATTCTAAACCTTCGAGAATCTAGATTTGACTTAAGAAATTCAAAAGTTTACTTTTTTTATTGAAAAAATCTGCAAAAATAAGCAAAAATCTGCAAAAATCTGTAAAAAATCCTTTTTGGAGTATCACAGTTACGCAATATTTCCGTTAGGTGATTGGAGAAATTGAAATTTTTCAAAGAAAACAAAGATAAAAGGAGATTGAGAATTTTTAGCTTTATATAATTTACAAAGACAAAGACAAATCAACGAGCAAGAGTGCCGATCAGCGAGGCGCACATCTCAAAGAATTGCATCGTTTGAGAAAGCTTTGCACCACCCGGTGATGGCGGAGGGGACTCGACCTGGAAATTACTTATTGCTTATCTCCCGGATTATATTGCTTTTGATACTTATTGCGTATCTCCCCGCATTTAACGATTTACATTTAGCAATTTGCCTTTTAGCAATTTGCCTTTTATCAATTTGCATTTATCAATTTGCATTTATCAATTTCCATATAACATTCTGATTATTCTGGACTTCTCTTCATTATTCTGGGCTTCTCTTCAAGCAATAAAATTTACATAGAAATTAAAACGATAACATTTAGAATAAAAAACATTTTCTCTATGTTCTATATGTCGCAGCCGCTCGTGATTTTCAGCCGCTAGTGATTGAATCACCATCGACTAGCCGATGGTGATTCAATCACTAGCAGCTAGCCGTTGGTGCTTGAATCGCCATTTTTGAATTGAATCACCAATGTAAACAGATTGTTTAGTATGATAAGAGTGCCCGTTTTCTCTTTTTCTTTCCTTTCACCTATTACAAGCTGAGCCTAAGCCTGAGCCTAAGCCTAAAGCTTAAAGTCTAAAGCCTACAGTCTAAAGCCTAAGCCTAAAGCCTAAGCCTAAAGCCTAGAGCCTAAAGCCTAAAGCCTAAAGCCTAGAGCCTAAGCCTAAGCCTAAGCCTAAACCTAAGCCTAAAGCCTAAGCCTGAGCTTAAGCCTAAAACCTACAGCCTAAAGCCTAAAGCCTAAAGCCTAAGCCTAAGCCTAAAGCCTAAACACTCCTTTTCTAGAGCACTTATTTCTTTCTTTTTTAAGACACAACATAGATAATGATAACGATGATGTGGTAGAAGAATGCTCTAGAAAAGTGTCTAGAAAAGTGTCTAGAAAAGTGTCTTTTCTCAGTGCATAAAATGGTGACAAGTCTAGTCTATGAAATGAATTCAATCCAACTCCAATCCAATCAAATCAATCCAATTAAACTTATCATAAAACTTACATCTTGTGGTTTAAACCCAACATCCATTGGCATAGGTAAACTCTGTGCTCGATTGTTTCTCAAAGCTGGCTTTGTTGCATAAGAGATCGATGGATGACGAGAAGAGCACGCTGAGCTGGCTGAATAGCTTTTGTAGAAGAAAATTGATTTGTTTAACTCACGTTCTTCTTCAACGAGACTTTTGAAATCAAGAAGATAGCTTCTATTGTCAACTTGGTAGAGTTGAAGGCTCATTCTCGGAGTATCCTGGGTTGAATTCTCGGGACGACGGCGAACGATCACGTGGTATGGGTTAAGGACCTAAACTTTTCAATGATTTCGACAAATTTGAGAGATCTTTAGGCTTTAATTCTTTAGGCTCTAACTTTAGGCTTTAATTCTTTACTTTCAGACACTTGCTTTAGTACAATATTACTTTATTGCCATGCTCTGCCCTTTTAGCTTTGAATTCCTAGATTCTTTCATTACCAACCTTCCACTCGAAGTCAAGCGTCTTCATCGCGCGGTAGACTTCTTGCATGATGTCTTCTGAAAATGGAAATTTGGAATTGTTTGAGAAGTTAGTACTTTACCGTTATATTTCTCAATCTATGATAATCTAGAAGTACTTGTGAAGAATCGTTCATTCAAGAACATTCAATTATTCAAACAAGAATCATTCATTCAAGGTTTATAAGGAT